CACACAACCAAACAAACAAACAACCAAACACACAAACACATCTACAAACTCTTGTCATTCCTCCCCTTCTTCCTCCTGCTCCTCGCTTTGCCCCCGTCCGCTTGTTCCTTGCCTTGCCCACTGCCATCTTCCGATTTACGATCAGAATCGCAAGAGTGCGTTCGCACATGGAGACTGCAGAGTTATCCGACGGCAGCTGGCCAGGCGTTCAAGGGCACTGCTTATTCCTCATTGGTCGGTCTCATTTGTAGCCACCTCTTGTTCAGAAAGGGTTGGGTACGTCCCTGGGTAATGTAGCATTCTTCTCCCGCTCTCGCACACAAGCCTCTCTGTCTTCCTCTCCTGTCCGTGCTCCTGCTCCTACTTCTGCTCGTTGCTCGCTTCTGCTCATGCTGCCCCTTCTCCCTCCTCTTTCTGCCTCCAGTCCCCTGCCCTGCCCTGCTGTTGCCATCCCCCTCCTTTCGCCCCCTCCTCTCCCTCCCCCGTTTCCTTCCCTCTTCCGGCTGCTCAGCGTTCTTGAGCTTCCCCCCCCGCCCTTCCCCCTCCGCCGGCCCATCCCCCTCCTCCGCGCCACCCGCCGCTGCCCCCGCCGCCGCCCCGCAGCTGGAGAGGGGGCGGGCTGGAACTCCTCTCTTGGCCCCAGGGTCCTGCACCAGCTGCCGATCAACGAGGCGCTGTACATCCTCGGGCAGGCCCGAGGGGTAGGGGTCAAGGTGGGGCCATCTCTCGCTCCTGGCTGTCCCGCCGCATTTTTTTTTTTTTTGTTGTTTTGTTTTTGTTTTCTCTCTGTCTCTCTCTCTGCCTCTCTCTTCCACTGGGAAAGAATAGTACAAACACAATCCAGTGGAAGATTTCGATGCTCGTGAGTCTGCTCCGATTGTGGCTCTCTTCCGGCAGGATGCGCGTCCGTGCTGGGCGTTGTGTGCTAGCGTGCAGCGGCTTTGGGGCAATCCATTGCAAACGCTGGCCACCTTGCAGGCCATCTCAGGCCATCTTGCCCGTCTTGAGGCGATCTGGGCCATGAGAGGAATCTGTTTTCTGTCTCTCCGGGTAGCCAGCGGGCTGGGCCAGAGGCCGGTGGAAACCTTTTTAAACAAGTTCTACACACTGAGAAGTCTGTCACGCTAGACACTCTTTTGATAAATCAGCCCGGGGCGGCGGATCGAAGACGCCTACGGCGAATCACCGCCCCCCCCTGCCTTCTTGGAAACGCCCATGCGGCCAAACGTTGGGTCGACCTCTGGCCAAGCTTTTGAACTACACGCCAGTCGCTGAAATTAGGTATGTCTGGATTCTCGGATCCCAATCTACTTCAAGCGCCTTCCTATTCCAATAATCGATGCGCTGTTGCTGTGTTCTGCTATTCTCTGGGAGGGCCCGAAGCCAATCTACTTGGCCCGCCTTGCTACTTCTTGCTTTTACCTACTTCTTCCGACCGACGTGTATGTGTTCCCCCGAACCGTTGTGGAACCCCTATTTGGGGAACATTGGGGAGAAGAACAGTTAGAAGAGGACAGGGCGAGAAAGGAGAAGTAGGAGGAGAAAGAAGAGGATGGAGGCCCTCTTGGGGCTTCCTGGGGGCTCCCTAGGAGCCTCTTTGGGGCCTCTGGAGGATCCTGTGGGGCTCTCCTGGGGCCTCTTTTGGGGCTTCTTGGGGGGCCTCCGGACGACCTTTTGGCCTTTGGGAGGTCGTCTTGGGGCCCTCTCTGGGCAGTTGCCTTCTGGGCGCTTCTTGGGCCGTCTTGGGCTCTCTTCGGCCATCTTCGCGGTCTTGGAGACATGTTGGGGCCGTCTCGGAGGCCATCTTAGGGTTATGTTGGGCCTTCTTGGGGCCATGCTGGCCTTCTTGGGGGCATCTTGAATCCCATCTTGGGCCATGCTGGCCGTCTTGGAGACCATCGCGGCCGTCTTGGACAAATGCTTTGGGAATCTACGGGCTCTTCGGGTGGCTGGCGAGTTGGGCCGATACCCCACCAGGAACTCTTGAAGACAGAACCCTAGCCACCCAGACGTCCAGCACGCCAGACACCCGTGTGATAAATCAGCAGGGGACGACGGATCTAGTGGGCTTCGGCCAAACCCGTCACGGTGCCTGGGTTGTGGGCCAGAGGTTTCTTTGGAAGGTGCTTGGGTCATATCGATGGATGCCTATCTGGTCTCATGTGATGCTTTTGGGGGGCTCCTTGGAATGCAAACTAAATGATTCAAATGGTACCTCAGTAGTACTGCATGGGTCACATCGATCCCAGGCGCCTCTTGGGGCCTCTTGGGGGCTCAGCTTTTTTTGGTGCCCTCGAGGGGGCCCTCTGGGGGGTCCTCGTGGAGCCCTCGTTGGGGCCTCTTGCGGGCCGCCTGGCCAGTCCGGAGGCTGTCTGGCGTGGCTCCTCCTCCTCCTCCTCCTCCTCCTCCTCCTCCTCCTCCTCCTCCTCCTCTTCCTCCTCCTCCTCCTCCTCCTCTTTCTCCTCCTCCTCTTCCTCCCTTTCCTCCTCCTCCTCCTCCTCCTCCTCCTCCTCCTCCTCCCGGGCCGTCCCCGGGCCCTGAAGAGCCTGCTCGGGGGCGCCTCGGAGCGCTCTCGGCCCGCCTTCGGACCCCCCTTTATGGCCTCAGGAGAAGCCACGGGGGGCGCCCGAGAGCGCCCGTTGGGCGCCCGGGTCTCGGGGCCGCGGGCCCCCTTCGGAGGGCTCGGCTCAGCTTGCGAGCGCCCCGCTCAGCGCGTCGCCGCCCGGTGGCGCACGTCGGATGCAGGTGGTGCTCTCGAAGTGGAGCAGAGCCGCCCAGCCAGGAAGTCGACGTCGGTTTCGGTTCGTGTCGGGCGTGACGTGCGTGCGGGCGGTGTGGGGCGAAGCTGCGCGAGTTCCTGCTGCAGCAGAGGCCAGCGAAGGCCCAAATGACTTGCCCTGGCCCAGCCACTGTGTGCGGCGTGTCCCGATTGTGGTCCCGATGATTGTCCCGATGGTTGTCCCGATGACTGTCCCCAGGGTTGTCCCGAGGGTTGTCCCGAGGGTTGTCCCGAGGGTTGTCCCGAGGGTTGTCCCGAGGGTGGTCCCGAGGGTGGTCCCGATGGTGGTCCCGATGGTGGTACCGATGGTTGTCCCGATGGTTCTGCGAGGTCATAGTGCCAAAGAAGCCCTCTCCGCGAGGTCACGGGACCAACACGCAGCGGCCGGCCTGGGAGAGGACGCCGGAGCAGGGAACCGCGCGAGCAGGAGAGGGCGCGGGAGCAGCAGAGGACGCGCGGGCAGGAGGGGGGGGGGGGGCCAGATCTCCGACGATGTGTGTTTTTGTGGTGCTGTTTTTCCACGCGCGGCCCCAGAGGCCCCGACCCCGGGGCCCGAACGCGGCCCCCGAGAGTCGACACCGATGAAGATTGCCGGCAGAACATTTTGAGATCGTCGGAGGTTTGGGATCCCAGCTGCGCGTTGGTTTCGTCGGAGGTTTGCGATCCCCCCACGGATCTCTCCCAGGTTGCGTTCTGACCAGAATTTCGAGGCGGATCCGGCCATGGCGATGAGGGTGCTTCAGGACAATCAGAAACCTTTCGAAAGCAGACCTCGAGCATCGAACCTCGAGGGAGGAGCAGGAGGAGGGCCAGACGCGTCCAACGATTAAGGTGCTCCTCACCTTCAGGGGGGGGGGGGGGGCGTTGGCTGCCACCTGCCAGAGAAGGGCGCCTGCAGAGGGAGGTTGTCTCGTGGACAAGATTGTTCCCGTGTTTCTGTGGAAGGGGTTGTTTTCGTAAAGTCTGGTGTTTTAGTGTGAATGGTTGTCTTAGTGGGAAACGTTGTTTTCGTGGATACAACATGTCGTCTTCCTACCAGGTTGGGGGGGACACGGCCTAGCTCCAAAGCTCAGCCTCCCGAGAGCTGTCCAGGACGCATTGTCCATCCGAAATGCAGGAGATGGCAAGACACTGTCTTACGAGAAGCACCTGGCCCCGCAGCACTGCAGGCACAGCAGCAGACACAAGCGAGAGGGGAAGCAGGGAACTAGCGACGAGAGTCGGGCAGCATCCGTAGCCTCTTGGCCCAAGCCAGCACTCATCACCACCGTCATCGTCATTCGTACTTCCCACCCACAGGACAAATAAGGAGCTCGGGGGGGACCGAGACACACGAAGCCGACTTCCCGGTGGAAGGCGCAGCGTGTCCGCGCCCAACCCGTTGGCCATAAGGGCTTCTGCCGTCACCACCACAGAGGAGACTTCAGCAAAGAGGGGAGGTCGACGAGGGCGTGCGCAACCCGTCGGCGTTCGTCATGGCCAAGGCGCACGCGGCCATGAAAGGAGCGCCGCCGGGCCCGCGCGGATGCCTGGCGTGCTCTCGGCGTGATCCCGGCGGGCCAGAGGGCAGCGTCGCCTTCGTCCTTCGTCGTCCGTGGTCCTCGTCCTTCATCGTCCGAGGTGGTGGTGGTGGTCGTCGTCGTCGTCCATCGTCCGTCGTCCGTCTTCCGTCGTCCGTCGTCTGTCGTCCGTCGTCCGTCGTCGTCGTCGTTGTCCTCGTCCTCGTCGTTGTCGTCGTCGTCGCCGTCGTTGGCGTCGGCGTCGGCGTCGGCGTCGGCGTCGGCGTCAGCGTCGGCGTCGTCGTCGTCGTCGTCGTCGTCGTCGTCGTCGTCGTAGTCGTCGTCGTCGTCGTCATCGTCGTCGTCATTGTCGTCCGTCGCCCGTCGCTCGTCGTCCGTCGTGGAGAAGGTAGGTGGGTGGAGCAGGGACGAGCAGCAGGAGACGGAGGAGGGAGGAGGAGGGAGGAGGAGGGAGGAGGAGGAGCAGGAGGAGGAGGGAGGAGGGAGGAGGAGGCGGAGGACGAGGAGGAGCAGATGCACGCTCCAGGCGCTCGCCTCAAGTCTGCGCCACGCCAAACAAGGAGGAGGAGCGCCGCCCATGCCCGCCGCGAGGAGGCGGCAAGGGCGCCCCGCCGCCGAGCGCGGCCGAGCGGGTGGACGCGCGGGCCCACGAGCTCGGGCAGCGCTGCGCGCCCCTTCTTGGCGGCGGCGGTCAGTGGTGACCGACGACCGACGATCCGACGGCTGACGATCGGCGATCGACGACCGGCGATGTTCGATCGACGATGACGACGACGATTGACGGCCTACGGTCGACGACGACCGACGGCCGACGAACGGCGACGACCGACGACCTTCCAGCGGCGATCGACGATGACGACCGACGACGATCCCAGACTTCTTCGCGGCCCAGGGATTCACGGCGTTTTTTGGGTTGTTTTCGGGCTTTGGGGGGCCTCGCTGGGCTCCTGGACCGTTAAGTAGCGACTCTGGATGGAAAGCCAGTCTGGGGGGAAGTGGTCCAGACCTCGTCGATGTCCTCGTGAAAGAGCACGACGTCGGAGGTCTGCGATCGACGATCTGCGATGACGGCCGCGCTGGCGGAGTCTTGTTTCTCTATTCGCTTGGTTGTCTGCCTGTTTTCCACATTTCTTTGCGTGCTCATCTGCTTCTTTGTATGTGTCCTCCTTTACTTGCCTGTTGTTCATCATCGTCGGAACCATCCCCACCCCCACTGGGGCAGGGCGCGTCGGTTCCTCCAGCGTCCCCCCTCTCTCGGTGGGGATGGGTGCTCCGAAACCCGAAGGAGGCGGCGCCCCTCTCCACCCCAGGGGAGGGGGGGGGGGGGGGGGCGGTGGGCTGCCCAGCGGGGCCCAAGGAGGGGTGGGGAGGGGACCTCCTCCTCCTCCTCCTCCTCCTCCTCCTCCTCCTCCTCCTCCTCCTCCTCCTCCTCCTCCTCCTCCTCCTCCTCTCCTCCTCCTCCTCCTCCTCCTCCTCCTCCTCCTCCTCCTCCTCCTCCTCCTCCTCCTGTGCCTGTGGCTCCATCGCGGCCTCTGCGTGCTCTCCTTCTGCTCCCTCGCCTCGGGCCCCAGTGGCGCAGAGGCCGCCCGCCCCGCACGGCCTCTGCGCCACTGGGCGGCGGAGGGCGCGCGCCGCGCTCCGCCCTCCCCGGGCGCGAGGGCCTCGCGGCCGGTGCCGCCGACCCTGAAGACGACGACGACGGCGAGGACGAGGAGGAGCAGGAGGGCGAGGAGAGGCTATGTTGGCTATCTTTATGTTCGGCCCCCTGGCGCCCTGCCGGCGGGCTAAACCAGGCGCCGTCTGCGCAGCTGTCAGGCCGCGCCGTCGCCGTCGCCGAAGGGCGACTCCCTGCCCGCCGCCACGCGCGCCCGCGCCCAGCGAGCAGCGGCGGCGGGCGAGGCGAAGCCGTGGAGCTCGGCCGCCTGCCAGGCGTCCGCCGTGGCGGGCCGCAGCCCCCAGCGCGGCGGCCGCCCTGCTCCAGCGGGAGTTCCTGCGCCGTCCTCAGCGCCTGCGTCGCCGTGGAGCACCGCCGCGAGCCGCGCCTGCTCCTCCTGCGTGGGCGGCTGAGGAGCCAAGAGCCTTGCCCTGCCCTTCGGCTCCTGGAGGCGCATCAAGAGCCGCCGCGCTTCCGCCGCCCTCTCGCCTGGGGCTGGCCGCCCCTTGCAGCTGCCCAGCAGGCCTGTCCCAGCTGGAGGGGACCGCTTCCAGAAGCGGCAGCCGCACTTCAGGCACCAGGCCACGGCCCCATCGCCGTTCACGAGGCGCGAGACGACGATGCAGTGCCCGCGCACCACCCGCGCCACTCCAGCTCCAACTACCGCAGCCTTCAGCTCGGGAGCGGCCACAGCTGCCTCCGCAAGCTCGTCGGCAGCGGCCCCAGCGGCAGCGGCGGGCGCCTGGCCGAGCTCCACGCCAGCAGCGGCCCCAGCAGCAGCGCCAGGCGCCTGGCCGAGCACGAGGTCGGCCTCGAGCGCCAGCGCCGCCACCTCCGCGTCGGCCAGCTCCGCGGCGTCCAGCGCCGCCTGCGGGATGTCGTAGACGAGGTCGGCCGTGCCCACCACCCCGTCCGAGTCCAGCTGCTCGCGGTCCACCATGGTGGCGGCCAGCTCGCCGACCCAGCGCCCGAGCTCCTCCACGCGCCAGGCGCATGCCTGGAGGAACCAGACCCGCTCCTCGTCGATCGGCCACAAGGCGGCGCCTCTCTTGGCCCACAGGTCGGCTGCCCTGTTGCCCCTGATCAGGAGCTCATCCTCCCAGGAGGCAGCTGCAGCGAGCACCTTGTGCGCCTTGACCTTGCGCACCGTGGCCGACGGGCCTGGCCCTGCCCACCGCTCCTGCCACAGGTGGCGGCGCGCCTGCAGCGGCGCGAGGGCCTTGCCCTGCGAAAGCGCCAAGCCGATCGTGCCCGCGCAGTCGCAGAAGACCTCGAGGCCCGAGCCGTCGGCCGACGGCAGCCAGAACTGGGCCAGCATGTGGAACGCGTAGTCCTCGCCGTCCCTGGCCTCCTGCTCGGGCCCGTACGCCCGCGGGACGATGCCGCGCATCCCGCCGATGACCTCCCCGCCGAGGCCGATCTGCACCACCGCCCAGCCTGCGCGGCGGGCCCCGCGCAGCGCAGGAAACCTGGCGCTGCCGTCCACGAAGACCTTGCCCGCGAACTTCGAGCCAGGCGGCGCGCCGAACCAGCGCGGGGCCGCGAGCGCGGCGTCGGCCGCCGCGGGGAAGGCTAGGGCGGGGTCGGGGCACAGCGCACGCGCGAAGAGCTCCGCCGCAGCGCCCCCGCGCTGCGCCACCAGCCGCGCCCCCTCCAGCAGCTCAGGCGAGCACGCGCCCCGCCGCAGCGGCAGCCGGGCCTCGCACTCGAAGGCCCTGTGCCACAGCGTGCCTCGGCCACCGCAGAGGCGGCAGAGGCCGTCGCGCGCCTTGCCCTCCTTCCAGAGGCGCTCCTGCGGCCAGTGGGAGCCGCCGAGGGCCGCCACGAGCGCTCGCCTGTGGCGGGCCTGCCAGTGCGGCAGCGGCGGCGCGGGCACCGGGCGGCCAGCGCCATCGGCGGCCTCGGCGTCGGCCTGCCCCTCGGGGCGGCGGCGCGCGTGGAGGAGGCGCTCCAGCCCCTTCCAGTGCACAGGCCATGCCCAGGCGCCAGGCCCGCGCAGCCGCTTCAGCGCGAGCACGTCCGAGGCCAGCATCGCCGACTCTCGCGCCACCTGCGCCAGCATGCCAGGCGAGTAGAACTCCAGCGAGAGGACGCGCGCCTGCCAGTCGATGACGGCATTGTAGGCCACCATCTCGATGCCGACCCGCCGCAACGCCAGCGCACACGCCTGCGCAGGGTCGCGGCACCGCCCCCAGGGGCGGCGAAGGTCGAGCAAGCCTTGCGCCCCGAGCCAGCACTCCTGCACCACCGCGGCGCTGGGCAGGCCCGTCTCCAGCGTCACGCCCCAGGAGCGCGCCACCTCCACTGCATGCACCACAACGGGGTCGCGGTAGGCATCGCCGTGCATCGCCCGCAGCCGCGGGCCGACGCTGGCGCCCATGGGCAGCCTGCCCTCCGCGCGCATGGCGGCGGCCCGCAGGCCGCGCAGCTTCCCACAGGCGAGGCCCGTCACCGCGGAGCCCCAGACGGCGGTGGCCGCGGGGCTGCCTCTCTGGATGTGGCCCACCTGCGCACCTGCACTGCGCAGTAGGCGCGCCCGCGCGCTGACCGCCGCCGCGCGGCCGAGCCGAGCGTCCTGCTCGCGCGCGCGCCTCCAGCGCCCATCGGCGGCGTCGCCGCCAAGGCAGCGGGCGCCAGTCCAGCGGGGCAGCGGCCCGTGCGCCCAGCAGCCGCCCAGCGCGTCGCCGAGGTCCTCGCTGTTCGCCGGGTAGCCCGTCTTCGCCTCCGGGATGACCAGCCCCTTGGCGACCAGGCCCTCTGTGAGGGCCGCCATGGCCCTGGGGAGCTGCTGCACCACCTGGGCCCTGCCGCCGACCGCCTGCAGCAGCACGTCGTCGACGACGTTCTGCAGGCGAACCACAGGGTTCTCGCGCACAATCTTCACGAAGAGGGTGTGCACCAGCAGCTTGGCCAGCCCGACCGCACCGCTTCAGCCCGCAACAATGGTGCCGTTCGCCTCGAACGGCTTGGAGACCGAGCCGCACCAGGACACGCGGCGCTGCGTGCGGTACGACACGCAGTAGCACTGCAGCAGCGCGAGCGGGAACTCCGTGGCGGCCGCCTGCACGCGCAGTTCCTCATGGCTGACGTGCTCGTAGAACTTCGCCAGGTCGGTGACGCCCGTGGCCGCCGAGAGGCCTCTGCTGCGAGCAAAGGCCGCCAGGAGGTTGTGCACCACCCCCGCGCGCTCGCACGGGCTCTCCGACGTGCCCCAGAAGGCAGGGTTCTTCAACGAGGCCTCCCAGCGGGCCACCAGCGGCTGCCGCATCCTGCTCCAGACCCTCAGCCAGATGGCCGTGAGGCCGATCGGCCGCTGGCCGCCAGCAGCCTTGGGGATGAACACCGCGATCAGCTGCCACAGCGCCTCCCGCGAAGGCTTCCGCTCCCAGGCCATGAGGAGCTCCAGGAAGCGCTGCCTGTAGGTCCGCGGGAGGCGCAGCAGCTGCTTCGGGTGGAGCTTACCCCACCCAAGGCCGCACCCCTCGCGGTAGGTGCCCAAGACCCGCTCGAGGTCCTCGAGCTCCAGCGGCGGCAGCACCGACTCCTGGATGTCCCAGTCCTCGGGCGCCGCCTCGCCTGCACGCGACGGCTTGATCCAGAGCGGCTGCCACGCCTCCAGCAGCGCAGCCACTGCGGCCTCGCCCGCAACGGGCATGCGCGGGTCGTCGTCACCGTCCGCGCCCGCGAGCACCACCGTGGGCACCACCGCGACCTGCTTGATGAAGCGGTAGGCCGCCGAGCCGCCCTTCTCGGTGGCCGCGGCCTGGGCCCAGGCGCGCCACTCCGCGGCCTTCTGCTGCTTGTCCAGCCTCCAGGCCGCCTCGCCTCCTCCTGGACGAACTGCACCGTCAGCTTGCACGATGAGGAGCTGAGCAAGCCCACCACGCGGGCCACCGACAGCCCAGCCAGCGGGCCTTCCTCAGGCCACTCGGGCTCGAACGCCATCAGCTCCTCGCGCTGCTTGCGCAGCGGCGCCCAGCAGCGACCTCCTGGCGCCGCCTCCTGCAGCGCGCGCCAGCGGGCGCATGCCGCCGCGAATGGCATCCA